GCTACAATATTAGCTACGAGTTCAAATGAATCCAGTAGCTTTTGCTTATACCCTGTATTTGTATTAGGAAGTTCATTGAATATGAACAAATATTTAATCGCGAACCAAGTAACTAAAATGAGCTATAGGTTCGATGGCAAGTTCAGAACACATAAACTTCAAATCCTAGTTCTGTCTCTGTATACATTGGTTGGTCTTAGTATGTTCCTTTTAATGGGATAAGATATGAAGTAACTTTGGGCAGTTGGCATGACTATGTTTATGGACAACCTTTCTTCTGTTTCAGTACTATGTTGTACCAGCTTTTTCTTTTCAACTAATGTTTGCTGACTGGCAATGTGAAATGTGAATGTAATGATAAGTAAGCTCTGTAGTTTCACAACGTTATGTCGACGATTCTTTTAGTAATTTTCACTACTTCTATCTCTGAGCGAAATTATCTTTTTTGCAGCATAACATTCATTTTCTTCAGGAAGTTCTTCAAAATAGGAAGTCAGATCTGCTAGAATGGTGCATCATCGTCTTGTTGGCCGTAGAGAATGTAGTATGCATATACGAGATTGTTCGGGATTCAACTGCAATTCCCATGTGAACAGAACACAACCATATTCAATTTCTCAGCAGCCAATAAATAGTAACAGTGAAACGTAGTAGGATCGATATAGCGATAATTCATAGAAAGCAACCACATTTCTGGGCATTCATATTGCAATTGTTTTATAATTTGTCCATCTTATACCTTTGTCTTTTGCTCTTTCTTAACTGAGATGTAAACATATGTATCCATACGACATCGTCATGAATTAGTTACTATGATCATTTTTTGTCGCAAAATTATGTTTATTTAACCATATAAGATTCCATTTTTTCTTTGATAACCGAGAAATTTTCACCAGTTGGCACATGGTTTGAAATTCATCACTTCTTTATCTTTCTCCACTTAAATATAAAAAAATTTGGTCACACGGGCACACAACAAGGTTCGAATTTATGATGTGCACTTAATCTACATATCATGTGTTGCGCTTTTACCATTGATGATTGAACAAAGGACCTAGAAATATCAGATACGAAATAATGAAGAATACCTGCAAAAGGAAGTGTTTTACATTTCATTTGAGGTGGTATCTTTAAGAATTTCCTCAATAGGCTATTAATGATAATTAGTTCTAATTTAAAGTAACACTTAAATTTAAAAGCATTATACCATCGCCCTCTTTAATGTCCTAAATCATAAGACGAAATGAATGCAATGCAACTACTATACAACTCAAGAATCAAAGAAGACATAGCACAAGAAGCTAGCAGATAATATGGCAGCACCTTTCCATAAAGGTAACATAAACTTCAGTCACTTCTACATTAACATATTTACTACCTTATTAACAAAACAAAAAAAAAATTACTTTAACAGCTCTTTTTTCTTGTATTTTCTGATAAAAACTAATATAAAAATATTAAGTAGAATATTTCCAAACATCACTGTCTTTTGATTACGTAAAAAAGATAGGAATTAAATAAAGTTGACCCGTTTGTCAATGATTTTTTTTCAAAACGTGTTTGTCCATGAAAATTTGTAAGTTTGTGGAAATTTTTTGAAAATGAGTATTTGAACAAAGTTTTTTCAAGTTTTAGAACAAAGTTTTTCCCCACTCACAAGACTGCAATATTTTTTTAAGTGAAATGCATGTGCAATAATTTCAAATTCCAATTATCCTTTTTCAACTTAATTCCAAAACTACTTTTTTCCAAAAATTACAATTTTTATTTCCAAACACCTACTTAGAATGCTGCATGGAAGAGAATGGCAGTGCTGACTACATTTGAAAAAAGAATAGAAATGTAGGCTTCCTAGTTTTTTAGATTTGACAAAAAGACTTAAATTTATCCACCTTTCATAAATAAAACCAAAAGCATCATCCTATTCACTGATAATTCTTCCATTTCATAGTGAAGAGTAAATGAGTGATAGAGAGAAAGTTGTAAGGTCTTAGATAGGGTGTCAAAACAAATCATCAATAAGTTAGCTAGGTGTATAAATAAACATGTTTAACTTCAGTTTCATTGGAAAAAACACCATACCTGATGACCAATTCAAGGTCGGAGTGTTGGAATATCGTTGTTCTACTTGTGGATGAAGCAGGAGTGGCTCAAGGGAAAGGCTAGTAAAACCTTTGTTGTAGGCCTCACAATTTTAAGGCCCCATAAATTTTATGATTCTTTTTTCGCTTTGATAATATTGAAATTTATAAATTAGAAAAAAGAAATGGAATCTTTATGAAAAAAAGAAAGAAAGACCATCTTCTTTTTAACAGTAAAAGTATTTTAGAATTTTGAAGTAAACTACTCAAATTTTTCTATAAGTAAATAATATTTTTACAACAATATCCAAGGTAATACATTGCAAATACATTGCTAACATCTTACTAACCTGAATTAAATTTTACCAATATTATAATAATATTACTATTTGAAGTTAAAACTTAATCTCTTTCAAGACTACTATCCTATAAACAAAAAGTGAAAAAGACATCATTAACTTTTTTATATTTGTATTTGGTTAAAAGTTTAGGGCTTCTTATTAAATTTGGCTTTAGCCACTAGTTTTATTGAGCCGTCCATAGTATGAATAGCACCGGAATATATAATCTCTTCAACATGCATTTCCTTGGTGACTACAGCTGATATTTTGACTTTACCTCGATGGATTTAGAGACGGTAGGTATCCAAAGCAAGAAGGGATTACCTTACAATATTAGCATCTTTAGACAACTGAGACATTCCATTCCAAAAAAGAAAGATTTTCTAATTTTAACAATTTAAGTTTGCGAATTGCGCAACTTTCACATTCCATATAGTGGAACTAATGGTAACTCATAGTCGGTTAGTTCAAGATTTGAAAGTGTCGTGACTTCATTAAGATGTATGCAAAAAATAAACAATATCAATTTCTTGAGGTCTAGTGGGAGCTTCAACTGATTAATTGAGATTAATGTAGGACCAAAAGAAATTTGTAAATGCTAGAAACGTACCATCAAATTTCGAAACTTCACATCTCAATTTTTGGACATTTATTATTTTTGCTAAGATCTTATCAGCATCATCCACACAAGAAACACTTTCTGAGGAAATAGTTTGCAAATAATACATTGTCGAACTGCTTTCCAAGAGTTATTGTCCACTAATTCAAAATGAAAATTGCTTGATTGTGTAAATGTCGCTAGTTGACCATATTTCAAATAGTATCTGGTAATGATACTTGTCTTCTAATTCCTTGGTTGTGAATAGTAATGTATCTTTGCAGTCCGAGAAACAAGATTCTCAAAAGGGTTAATTCTTGAGGGAAAGAATCAATGAGGGCGAACTAAATATCCAACACCCTTCGAAACTTGAACCTTAAGGGTATGATATATGATCTATTGAAGAGAATGCAATTTTTCTGTGCAATTTTTCTGGATTCCCTGAATTGGAAAGATTTCATGTACCAAAAAAGTAGCAGTCTTATACTTTGGAGGGAAAACATGAAAATGATCCGTATAGTTATTAGAGGAGAAATTGATATTCAAGAAGATGAATTGATTCAAGAAAAACGTGAAGTTTGATTACCTTTGTATCCTTTCTAAAAAGTTATCAAACTTGGCTTTCGTCCTGCAAAATTCAAGCAATAAGTCATGCAGCGACATCTTTGAATTTGCAACAAGATTCAAAAATATTTTTTAAATTTGCATGTATAAATAAGTGCCTTAAATAAAAAGAATATGGGAATTGGGGTTTTCCGTTAGGGTTGAGGACAATTTTTAAAACTTTACTAAGGGAATTGGGGTTTTTCGTTGGGTTGAGGGCAAATTTTAAAACTTTACTAACAATAGGGTTAATTTTATTCCTATAGTATAACGGAAGTTAAATATAGATAATATTTAAAAGTAGAAAGGTAAATTTGATCCCTTTCCCTTTAAAAATACATAGGAGTAATTACTCCAAAGCATAGATATAGGCTAATTTCATTTTATACAAATGTGTTAGATTACTTCAAATTAATCAACATCTGATATAAAATATTTACTCGGACGTGGTGCATAAACCAAACTATATAAATTTATATGATCAACTGATATATTAAGGTAATAATATATATTAATTAACTAGTGATATTTTCCGCGCTTCGCGCGGCCGTTAAAATTTTATTTACAAGATACTTTATTGATCTTTTTAGTAAATTGGTAAAGGTAGAAGAACAAATTTCATGTATGCATACAAAAATTAATTTCTAAGGTAGATTAAATCATAAATATAAATACTTTTTTTTGATTAATTAGCTCTAACGCTCCACACAACATATAACTAATTTCACGTCAACAATGATAACATCTACAATATTAATTTAAAACAAAGAAAATTCTCAAAGGAAAAAAAATATTTTGGCCATCCTACCAAACTCTCCCAGTTGTTTTGTTCCTTTTAGCAATACCAGACCATCTCAACCCTCTAGCTTTATATTCCTAAACTGATTAAAGAACAAAAAACTCCAGTATTTGGGAGTTATGAAGATTAAAATATGAGAGCGTTAGTAGAAGATGAAAAGGTATAAGTTATGAAGGTGAACTCATAAATTAAATATATAAATTAAAAGAAAAAATAACCATACAATATAAGGTAACAAAAAACAATCGTATTAAAACTACAACAATATAAACTTTTCATATAAAATAGGAGTATTAATTAGCAACATATATTAAAAGTGAGAAAATATACTCTGATAAAACTATTAGAGATGGTTATCAACCATTTGATATACTGTATTTTCTTTGAACCAAAAAAAAATATATGTATTACTTCCAATTACTTGAAAGATTACAAACTAAACCAAAATATATGTTTCCTACACATAAAGACCAAATAACAAAACAATATTTTCAAATGCTCAGCAATTTTTTTCCAACAGTCAAAATAATACAGAGAGATCCAGAAAGATGCATTAAAAGAAAATAAATAGCACAATATGGAAACAAACAGAAACAATAATCTCATTGATACAAAAGGTTACCATAAAGGTTTTTGCTTGGCGATCAAATTTTAATCACAAATTTATGAATAAAGCTCCCACTTCCCTATTCAAAAGTACACTTATCCTATATCTTCCTCCACCAGCATACAAGATTTGGGAACAACATATTCATACTCTTAAATAACTATAAGGTTCTCAAGATAAAAAGAATGATGAAAAGATAGAGAAAATGACAACATAGAAATCATTTTCAGCAAGTAAATTATTAGCTATGAAATTCCACAGAAGATATTGAAACTCCTGAGCAACTATCCTTGGTTGAAGAGTGAATGTAATAACAGATAGTGTCCTCCCAAACAGTGATGATCTTTCCAAGGCCGAGCAATCACTTTGTTTTGTTTTTAAGACGTCACTGAGATTCCTGACATCAAGTATTTTGATATGTCACTTTTTGTCTAGAATAAAAGAAGGATATATAGAACTCACAAGCAAAACCATACGACTCTTTCTTTTCCGAAGGTAGTCTGTCTCAACCAAACATAATTGACAGTAGGAAAAAGTTACATTCCTTCATAGTAATAGCACAAAAACGCGCAACTTGATCTCATCAGATACGATTAGATGCTTTGAAATGAAAGTTAACTTCTTACCTACATGTTCAAGAGTACTCCTGTACATAGTTTTGCTACCAGAAGTAGAAATTGCATAGAAGACCTGCCAGACCAAATTCTCCATTGAATGTAGATAAAAGGGCATACATTAGATATGTATCATAAACAGAGTCCTACTTTTTTGCTTGTCCTTTCTCGATTCTTCCTTGTCCTCTACCTTTTTCTGTTTTTGATAAACTCTAAGACTTATGTTTTTACTCACACACATAACAGAATTTTGGGTTGAGAGTGAAAAGAAGAAAGAATTCATGTTTGCAAACAGGATTCACATAAGGCTAAGCCAAAATATTTTTATTTTGTGGGAAATGCGTTTAAATCAAAATGTTCAATGAACTGAGATCATAGTCCATAATGCACCGACCATCATAGAAGATGTAAGGTTTCTTGATTAAAGGTTCAAATTTGTACGAATTCGAACTGTATCTAGAAGAATTTCTTGTTTTTGTATATTACCAATATCACAACATTAAAACCAAAAAGATTGAGACTAATCAAAATGGATTTAAGTTTCACTTTACATATATTGTGAGTAAAAATTCAATGCATTTATGTAATATGTATAGTATAACAGTTCTACAGAAGAATTATCTAATTGACCTCAACTATTTCGAGATTGAGACGTAATTAATTGACTGAATAAAAAGAATTCAAAAACTCCAACAAAGGTGGCTTACCATAATGCGGGTGACGTTTGAACAACCAGCATTTTCGATCTTCATACTACAGCAGAAGTGACAAAGACTAATCAGAAAAAGTAGTTATAAGAAAAATAAAAAATAAATCGATTTTGGGCTATGAAATTTTTTGCATATGGAATAGAACTTGTAATATGGCCATTATTTTGTCAAATGCAGTCCATCTCACATAAGTATAAGCATCTTTGCAAAGTGTAGACTTTGTTGGCAATAATCTTTGGGACCCAAAAATATTGCATTGTGTGTTGGACATCATTTGCACAAGTTGTATCTCTTCTTTTACACCTAAGAGGTCAAGACTTTTTTGCCTATAAAAGGGAAGGCCATTAGTTCATTTTAGACACACCAACAAGACTTGAGTCTTGATTTCTTGTTTCTTCCTTTCTTCCTTTATTAAGAGTGTTTTGTATGAGAGTTAAGTGTTGGGAAGCACTTGTGTGAACCCTTTCTTTGGAGTGATCTTGTGAGGTTATTCTCTTAGGGTATTTGGGATTAATTAGAGTGTTTACTCTAATTTTGTACTCTCTTTTGTACTCTTATTGTTATAGTAAATTGCTCCTCTCCGCTTGTGGACGTAGGTCACTTTGACCGAACCACGTTAAATTTGTGTCTTCTTTATCTACTTTAATTGTCGTTGTTATCAACTTTCATTGTCTTTGTTATTGTCATTATACCGTTGTTTGGCTAAATTCCGTACTACCCGGGTTCCCGATCCTAACAAATTGGTATCAGAGCCGGATCTAACCGGGTTAGTTTCAATAGCCAAAATGACTCTAACAAAGACCTATGTTGAGAAATTTGACCGAAGTGCAAACTTCGGAATGTGGCAATTAAAGATGGAAGCTATCCTAATTCAGGATGGCTTAGACTTGGCGTTGCAAGGAAATGAGAAGAAGCCGGATAAAATGACGGACGAGAAGTTTGCCATCATAGATAAAAAGGCAAAAGCAAGTATTATTTTAAATCTCTCAAATGAGGTTTTACGTGAAGTTTCTGTAGAAACCACAGCTAAAGGCATGTGGGAAAAATTGAAAACCTTATATATGAAGAGGACGGTGGAAAATAGACTTTACCTGAAGCAGAAGCTTTATACAATTCGTATGGGTGAAGGTACCTCTATTCTCTCTCATCTTGACACATTTGATTCCATTCTTATGGATTTGAGTAATATAGATGCTGAAATTAAAGATGAGGATCAAGCCGTGTTACTGCTTTGTTCTCTACCCCCATCTTTTAAGCATATAAGAGATACTATGCTTTATGCAAAGGATAATATCTCTTATAAGGATATTAAATCTATCCTAAAATCAAAAGAACAGATAGATAGTGATATTACCGGGGAAGCTAGTGGAACTCAAACGGAAGTTGGCTTGTTTGTTAGGGGCAAATCCGACTCCAATTCTAGATACAATAATTTAGAGTGTCGCTATTGTCATAAGAAAGGTCACAATATCTCTGAATGCTATAAACTGAAAAATAAAGAAAAACACAAAGAAAGAAAAAATGATCACAAAAATACTGACACCGCCGAAGCTAGTGTAGCAACTGATGAGATTGAGGGAACTATATTTTTAGCAACTGAAACTAGTTTCAGATTAGACAATGAGTGGATTTTAGATTCCGGTTGTTCATATCATATGTGTCCTAGCAGGGACTTGTTTTCTACATATGATTCAGTTGCAGGTGGAGTTGTCCAATTGGGTAACAATGTTACTTGTAACGTTATTGGCAAAGGTACAATTCGGGTCAGAATGCATGATGATGTGGTGAGAACTCTCACCGATGTTAGATATGTTCCTGAGTTGAAGAAAAATCTCATCTCTCTAGGCACTTTAGAATCCCTTGGGTGCAAATTCACTGGTGAAGGTGGAGTTCTGAAAATTTTTCAAGGTGCTCGTTTGATCATGAAAGCACACAGATCTGGTTCGTTGTATACTTTATTGGGATTCACTGTTATAGGTACTACTACAGTTTCGGTATCAGACAATTTGTATGATTTTGATGGCATTAAATTTTGACATATGGCCATTGGGGCTTTTGCGGAGAAGGTGGAGCAAATTTACTATATCATCCAAAATTAGGCTAAGGTAGAGATTTGTAATATGGCCATTATTTTGTCAAATGGAGTTCATCTCACATAAGCATAAGCAACTTTGCAAAGTGTAGACTTTGTTGGCAATATTCTTTGGGACCCAAAAATATTGCATTGTGTGTTGAACATCATTTGCACAAGTTGTATCTCTTCTTTTACACCTAAGAGGTCAATACTTTTTTGCCTATAAAAGGGTAGGTCATTAGTTCATTTTAGACACACCAACAAGACTTAGTCTTTATTTCTTGTTTCTTCCTTTCTTCCTTTATTAAGAGTGTTTTGTATGAGAGTTAAGTGTTGGGAAGCACTTGTGTGAACCTTTTCTTTGGAGTGATCTTGTGAGGTTATTCCCTTAGGGTATTTGGGATTAATTAGAGTATTTACTCTAATTTTGTACTCTCTTTTGTACTCTCTTTTGTACTCTTATTGTTATAGTAAATTGCTCCTCTCCACTTGTGGACGTAGGTCACTTTAACCGAACCACGTTAAATTTGTGTCTTCTTTATCTACTTTAATTGTCGTTGTTATCAACTTTCATTGTCTTTGTTATTGCCATTATACCGTTGTTTGGCTATATTCTGCACTACCCGGATTCCCGATCCTAACAGAACTAAATAGATTTCAAAAGTCATAAAGTTTTGACAGGAAATTCATATACAAATACCGAACTTTTTGAGATTTTTCCATCTCCTGGCTACCAATTGGTACAACTTTTCCTTTCTAGTTTAGAATAATTCATGGAGAATTACCAAACATTCCGATATTTTTGTTTACATCTCCGGCAACAGTTTGTATAAATTTTTATTTTCCTCTGCTCCTTTTTCGTCTTTGCTTTTGGTAGAACAACCGGAGGAGTGGAAGGGTCTGACACTTTAGTCCGTTAGACTGCAGGACTTATTTTCAGAAAAGTCCAACTGAAATAATTGAAACTAAAATCCTCAAAGTGTAAGAACGCAATTTATGAATATTTCGTCAAAGATTAAAGAATCACATAAATAATCTTAAAAATAGCCAAAAGAAGCACATTTGATTGCAACAATTAACCTAAATTCAAAAAGGGAAATAGAGTATATTTGATATAATTCACACAAAATAACAGGACAAGATGAAAGAAAACCTAAAAATCTCAGAAAGAGAAAAAGGGAATTTACCTATTGAAGTAAGTAAAGAAGAGAAAGAAGCCGCTGAAAGCGTTTCAATGGAAGAGCAAGAGGAGTGAAACGATGTATTGCCGTATTGGAACAAATAAGAGGAAGAGACGCAATTAAAGTGACTTTTCGTTTTTTAGTGTTGCACATAAATAGGTAAAATAGGGAAAAGCTCCAAAAATTTGTGATAAAGAAAAAATATGTATAATTATTGATAAGAGGTGCCACGATTTTTTGGGCCCCGCTTTCTATATATATATATAGAGAGAGAGATGGATAGATTGTAACTAAGTGATAAATCTTATATATAAAACACATCAGCACTAATTCTTTAGGTGTCTGCACCGAGTGCATGCAAGTATCAGATTGAGTTGAGTGCATGTAAATATCTAACCTGAAATTTATTCATATCCGAAGCCTAAAGAATGCTAAAGAATAAGGGCTTGTTTGGTATGATGGATAAGAAATAATTAATTCCGGAATTAAATTTGAGATGAATTTATTCCAAGTTTGGTTGGGATAAAAGTGTGACACACCTAATCCTGAAATTTGTTATCTCGGGATTGTAGTGTTATTTTTATTCCTGTGGGAGGGTGAGATAACAATCTCGGGATACCGAATCCCAGGATAATTAATCCTGGGATAACTTACTTCCCAACCAAATGACCCCTGAGGGCTCGTTTGGTACGAGGGAAAAGGGATAATTAATCCCGGGATTAAATTTGAAATGAGTTTATCACACGTTTGGTTAGATAAAATCGTGGTATAGCTAATCCCGGGATTGTAGTATTTTTTATCCCCATGGGAGGGTGAGATAACTGATCCTGAGATGACTGATCCCGGGATAATTAATTATGGGATAACTTATTTTCCAACCAAACGACTCCCAACAGTACAAACTTGCTGAACAGCACTTTGATTGAGGTTTTTCAGTAGGCTGTCACTCAAAAGACAATTAAAGAGAACCATCTTAGGAATTAGTTCAACAACTCAACAAAACTCCCATAACATGAGGCAACTGAATAATTTTCTTCAAATATAAGCCATAAATAGCATTTCAAAGTTCCAGTAGCAATTCCAGAAAAATATACTAGACCTCTGGCCATACAGCTGCAATTACAATTTAGTTGAGTACACTAAATTGCTAAAAAGCATTTTGCATGTTCCATGTTTGATGACTTGTAACATGTTTCAATATATCCCTTTCCGGAAGTGTTTATTGGAGCGATTCTGCTACGACGAGAAGTGACCAAGAAATCATCAATACATAGCCTACTCAAAAATCGTTTGATTGTTGAGGACTCATTCTTGTATGACTAATCCAACTCTCAAAACTCTTTAACTCTAACTGCATCGCGAGGAATGTCATAAGCTTCTCTTGGCCTTGATTTCTTTACACCTGCAGTAAACCAAACCTTCTCCGACCTGTAGCCTTCGACAGACACATTTGTGATCTTCACCCATACTAAGACTTTGGTCTTCATTCCTTCTATGCCTATAAGCTTGTCTCTAAGTAGAATGCATTTTACCCTCGTAGCATACCTAATCAAAGTGCCGTCCTTGAAGGTGATCTCACATGGTGACGGAAGGTAAACGGTCAGCTTTGATTTGGAGTCGTCTAATTCAAAACTAGTTACGTTCTGAGGGAAAAGGCCAGGTGGGAGATTGTGTTCTCGTAGAAGATCTGGCAAACTCTTCATAGGCGTTCCTGAGTAGGGGAAAAGAATTTTTCTTATAATTCATTTTGCTCATTAACATGAACCAAACCTATGTTGCTCGGACTCTCATAAAATGTTGCCAGGTGCATGTTGGATCCTCCAACAGTATTGCATTTTTGGAGGAACCGACATAGGTGCGGCAGCATTTTGGAGAGTCCGGGCAACATAGAACCAAACCTACTATGTACTTGCCCAAACCAATATGCCCATAAGAAAAACTATGATACTCAGATAAGTGACTACAAGACTGCAAAATGAATATGCACCTTTTAACTTGTTAAAGATCCACTTCGCCTTCTCTTCAACAGTACTTGAGATGCTCTGCAACAATAAATTGAAAATCGAGTTAAGTGCACTTTGCTGAAGTTAAAAGAGATCGAGGTTTTGAGTTCAGTGTTAGGACAATCAGATGATAGTACAATCTCTTTTTGATGATACACGCAAGATTGCTAATTGATGGCTGATAAACAAGCTGAAATCCAGAGAAAAACGATCGAGAATCTGATTCTGGTTTTTAGCATGTCAACTGCGTTGATTTTTCTTTCAAATGCAATGCCTACATCTACACTTAGCCAAGATGGACAGATATGAAAGGAAAAAAGCACCTAAAAAGGAAGTGTCTTCACATTTTACCTAAGCTGGTAGCCTAAGTGCCTAACCAACATGAGCATATATTAGAGACCTTGAGATTGTTGATCTTTCTTATTTCCTATTAGGAATTTTCCACAATCGCCGTCATAATTCTACATTTTGAGGATAAGTACTTAAAAGCGTGATCGCCCTATTTACCATCCTAAAACATAAGAACAAACTGAAAGTAACTACTTTAACAGCAAGAACAATTACACCTCAGTCCAGTTGGGATCGGCTACTAACCATGTTTCTGGATATAAATGTGACTAATATACAACCCAAAAATCAAAGAAGGCATAATTGCAAAGAAGTAAAAAAGGGCAGTCCGGTGCACAAAGCATCCGGCATTTCAGGGAAGGGCCGCAACTCTAGGGTGTGATATAGACAGTCTGCCCTAATGCAAACATTAGTGACCGCTTCCACGGCTCGAACCCATGAAGGTAACACAAACTTGACTTTAAGTACCTTCCTTTCTCACTTGTATTTCTTGGTAAAATTTCTAAAACAAAGTTTAAAAAAAAAAATAATAATAATAAT